CAAAAAGGAATTTTGCCTGTATATTGAGTATGTAGTATGAGTATGTAATAGTATGTAGTCTGTGATTGAGTGTTTGCTCGCTTTAATGAAGATGCGCATTTGAAGTTTGTCAAGCTTCTTAAATGTTATTCCTGATTTTATAGATCTTACTCACTTTATATTCCCAGACTGTGTGATTAGACAAGTGATTGGCGCATTTCAGATTTATAGGAGTTCCCACTTTCACTTTGATGTTTTCTACTTTCGGCTCCACATTGAAAGGAGAGTCGTTCGAAAATCCTGAAAAATAGTATTCTTATTATGTGTATCAAGGACTGATTTAACAAAAAAACTGGATAAAAATGAAGCTCAAAAGAAAAATGCGTAAAAAATATAACAATTGCCTGGCAATTTCACTTAATCTTCATGCATAATTTAATCGATTTAATCATTAAGTTTGAATATTTCGTATCCTCTTTCGCAAAAAAATTGAAACTGATAGTCAATTTTGTGTTTTTATTGTCGTTTATGATTTATTTGATAATAACATCAATTTTCTAGGAAATATAATTTATCATGAATGAACAATAGAAATTTTTTCTCCATATGAACTAGATGTTTGATGTATTAATTACAACCTTTGCTCTGCAATTCCAAACGCATTTAATCAAGTTTGAAATATAGCTGAGATGATGTGTTTACTGCTTTTAAAGTATCGCACAGGCGATATTAAGTATTATTAAAAATAACAAGTTTTCTTGAAAATCTCAATATTGCGTTCATTTAAATAACATTCGGCCAACGATGGCTAATTTTAGGTGATTACTAATTAGCGAAGATCGTGGTCCGTGACTAGATAAGATAAACAGAACTAATAGATGGATTAAATGTCCAATTATTAACAAATAAAGCCTGTTTCATATCCAATCGTTTAAACGACTCCAAAAAGTGAAGAGTTTATCGGTTAACCTTTGCTGGAATGTGTTACTTTATTATTCAACTTGAAATTAAATAAATCGCTGTTGTTTGTCTGGTTTAACAGCTTGATAATTTTTTAGTCTCTATAGCACATAACAGTTAAGTTTAAATGAGCAGATCCAGTAAGGTAAATGGCCTTGTTTTCAATATAATAATTAAAACTGAAAAAAATTAAGCTTTCAGCGCTCAGTAGCTTTATTGCGTATATGCATAAGTAGGTACTTTTCCAAATTTGCGGCAGTTTGCAATTTTATCATTCCACTTGATTAAGGTTGCTATCTGGTCGATCTTCAGAATTTCTTTATTTGCTTCAATAAAAAACTGTTTGGAAATGAGTTACAGAATTTACCGGTTACTCATAAGAGATAAGGAAATTTACTATTCGTTTGATTTATTTGTTTATTTGTAATACCAAAAAAGTCACGCGGTTAACGCTTTAAATGCAGGATTCTCACATCTGCATTTTAGAAATAAATGGATGTGGTAATAATGACGTAAACCACAAAAAATTAATTGAGTGTTTAAGTATATTTTAGAAACGATTGCAGATGGACAACTGAACTTTTATGCTTTTATTTTATTTTCCCAAAACTTTGTGAGTATGAAGATACTATTTTCGTCCGTCAGTTGTGTAGATTTTGGGGCTGAAACGGACTATTTTCTCCTAACTTCTACGCCACTCGGAAAATGGTAATTTTAAACCCTAGTGTGAAAGTTTGGTTTTCTATACAAAAAAGCTCTTTCAGTCAAAAGCTCTAGTTTTAGCCGTTTTAAAAAACAAGGCCTGTTATGATGAAAAACGTGAGTGTAATTACACAATGAAAAGCTAAATAAATTTCAGTAGTCAATGAAATTTTTTTTCTGATGGAAACGATTCGAACCGATTGCGTCTAGACTGATTGATCGATGCTTGATTAGTAGAATTTGAAAAAATGCCTATTTTCAACTTCCTCGCTTATTTTCCTTTACCATGAAAGCATGTTGCCCGAAAACCACTAGGATTAGGGCGTTTGACTAAAAGTACTTTTTTGTGTATAAAACAATGGCCCTTCTAAATTTGCCTTCAAATTATCCACTTCTTCAGTGGCGTAAAAGTTAGGGGCAAAATAACCCCAGTCGCAAATAGTGAACATGTTAAAGCGTTTGTACCTAGAAGAAGAATTCAGCGTGTCCGACATAAAATACTTAATAAAAATGTTGTGCAAGGAATTTACATTGTCGGATTGCACACACTTGATCAAACGCGCGTCAGTGGTGTAGCAAAAAAAATTCTAAAACCGTTTTTATTAAATACCTGGGAATTTTTTGAGACATGTTTGCAGATTTTTAAGAACAAATATATGAACATGACGCCACTGCAGACTGTAGAAGTTGCTTTTGTAAAAATGTGCTTTATCAAGTTGCTTTAAGCTCAACGTGTAATTGCTGTGCAATATTTTTATTATTTTGCCTCGAATACCCTAAATAATCTCTTGTCAATAACGCGCGCTTCAAATTTTACATGAATTCGCTCATGTACCGTATTTATTATTCGTGTGCTTCCTACCAAAACAAACCGTATATTATTCCGAATTTACGACACTTTTACGATCCCACCGTTTACTTGTCAGGTAGTAAAATTGTAAAATTAAATAGACTTGTAGGTTTTATCAGCGACGGTTCGGCATCTGAGCGAAAGTTCGCGCGCGTTTGTTTCAGTTCTTAGGACTTACTCACCTTCAATGTCTGCTAGATCTTGTGCGAGATGTTCCACAGTCCAGAAACAAAGAATGAACCACACTTGGAGCCAATAGATGAGCATGTTGTCATGGCAGGTGACGAAATGCTGATCTGGCCCTAATCCAGACGCCCTTTTGGTCGCTATCCAGAGAGGCGCACCACACTAGTAGACCGGGGCCGGTTTATTTAAAATTATCCGGGTCTGTTTTCAATCACACAATCCAAACATTTATCGAAACGTCACAACAAACACCAGGAGCTGGTATTTTATAGGCGAACGTGGATATTTTCGCTTAGGACGCGCGCCCAATGTTTGTGGAAATACTCTATATTATAACAAACCGACATGGAAATAAATTGTGTTTTGGATTCGCGTCTTCTTGATGTTTTATTAAAGATGCACCAGTGGCGTTGTTCTAGCACTGCAAACAAGAAAGCTCATATTAAACTGATACCAGCGTGAAATTTGATCATTCTACCGTGATCGTTTTTCTCTTCTTGGTACTGTTGAAACCTTCACTTACTTGAAAAATTTTTGCAATTGCTTGTAAAAATTTGTCCTAAATCTAATTTCTTTATTTTCAACATTTTAGATTTTTTCTTACCGCACCAAACAACTTCCTCATCTCGTAACTACTATGGTTCTACGTGCAAAACTCTCTTTTGGTTTAAACAGAATAACTCCTTTGGGGCGTGGAATTTCTCAAATTAATAAAGGTGTTTAATGAAAAAGTGTCTCTGGCGATATTTTTGAGAAATGCGACATTTTCTAGTAAAAACATTTCGTACGTCTACTCATTTTACGCACACGCGCTCAAAGTAAAGTAAAGAAATACATTTATAGTTATTTTCGTTTATTAGAAAGAATATTTCCTTTATTAACAAATTGTATATACTTTCCTGACTGTGTTTCAATTCCAAATCAAAATTAATTCCTGGGTTTCAGTCATTTATTTTTCCACCATCATCAGTTTTTCTAAAATAATTATTTTAGGTTATTTTAGAAAAACTGATGATGGTGGAAAAATACACCGAAACGTATTTTAATTGATAAATAAAGACAATAAATGACTGAAACCCAGGAATTAATTTTGATTTATTAACAAACCTATAAGTCTTAATAGTTAAATACAAGTTCCTTATTCACACGAAATATTGTTTTTAAGTTAATAGAATAAAATAAATGCACTGAATAAATCAAACACTATAACAATGTTTATGGTCTCTGAATTTGCAACTTTCAAGTTGAGATCCAAGTTTTCAGTTTAAATTTCAGAATTAAAATTCGTTTCAATAACGGCTTCGAAGCAAATTCCCATTGAAAGTCGAGCTTATGTGTTGGAAACGTTAACAGAATGAGTTTGAAATTTGGGCATATAACTCGAAATTGCCTACAGTTTGAGTCTAATTTGCCAGTTTGGAGTTGAAAACAGTTTTATTATTAAAAATGCGACTAAACCGTTGATATTTCGTGTTCTTTTACGATGAAAACATGCAGCCGATGAAACCCGATTAAAATGGAATGAACGCGCCTTCGGGTTAAGATTTTGAATAAAAAAATTGTTTTTTCATTTGAAGTCTGAATTCTTACGTTTTAAGTAATTCTTACATTTGTAGCTTACAGTCGGTATTTTTCACTGAAATTTGAATTATTTTAAATGAAAGTCGAACTCGAAGCTTAATTCTGAAAGTTTTAGTTGTATATGCAAAAGTAAAAATAAAAAAAAAGAAGAGACAAGCAAAAATTTACCGGTCTTTTGAGTTGCATTTTTTTTAGTTTATATTTTCAGTTTAAAACTCAAAAACAACAGAATATCAACGCTTTTTTAATTTAAGATGCAAATTTACAGTATCACTCGAACATTTCTAGTTTGAAGTCGCAAATTTCAAAATTCGCCGTTTAAGGATCGAATTGCAAAATGAAAGTCGAGCTTTCGTGCTAGTTTCCGCTTTCTAGTTCTAAAATGAACGACAGACAATGAAACTAAAATAAATTGATTTTATACCTGAAGTTTTCAGTTTTAGATTTTTTCATTTTCAAATGACCTGGAAGTTTAAAGTTAGAATTTTCAGAATTGGAGGCCCAAATTTTCAATTTTAAGCAAATATTTCTAGTTTGAAATCACAAAATGGTGCCGGTTAAGAAAAACAATTGCGAAACAAAAATCGAGCTTCGAGCTTTTGTGTTGCTTGTTTTGCAACTGTATAAAATGAAAATGAACCAATAATCGGTTTTACGACGTTATATGAGACCATCATTGATAGGAATTTGGTCGCGACGTTTCGCTTGGTTAGCATCTTCAAAGATCTGTTGGCCCCCGAAGTGAACACACTAATAACGTCTAAAACCCATGTTTTTTAAATGACCAGGATTTTATTTTAGTATAAACTATACTCCAAAAGTGGAAACTCAAATCTTGAAAACTCAGCTTATATTTTCAGTTTCAACTATTCTGACTTTAGCTGAAATAAACTGAATTTTAACTAAAACTTTCGAATTCAAGTGCACTTTTAAAACCGATTGTTGGATTTTTCAGTTTTAAAGTCGAAACTTTACCGCTTTGAGTTTGAACAGTTTTTGATTGATCCGCAAGTCGCATTTTCGTGTTTAAAGTTTTTTCGTTTATATGGAAATTTTCGGTCTTGCATAATGCATAAGGCATTGAATTAGAAATTTCCATTTTAAATTGCAAGTTTTCAAGTAATTAAAAAGTCGAAAGTTTCAGTTTAAAATCCGGAATTGAAATCCGATCTTTTCCAAAGTGTTTTTCAAAACTCAAAAATATATACTGAATGTTGGTGCAATTTGAGGCATTTTATCCATCAGAGTGTCTTCAGTACAGTGAAAATGTACCAAAACTCTACTTTATTTTTCAAATGCCATTTACATCTGAACTCTAAAAAAATTGTATTTAGTGCGATTTCAATTAAATTTTCGAAGGTTGCCAGGAAGCGACAATTTTTTTTTTATTTCGCCAGTTCTGGACCTCAAACTGTTCGGGCATACATGCTTAAAATCAAACCTTTCAAAGAAATTTTTATACAAAAAAGGGGAAAGGTGAAACCAAAGACTAATTACGAATAAAAAAACCTATAAAATGAGGCATTTGATTCTTTTTTTATTAGTCCTGGGTTTTTCTAACTAGGACTAAAATAAAGTAATAAAACAAAACAAAAAGTCACTTTGTACCTTTGAAAACATTTGCTGATTGTTCTGCTTTTATCTGCTTAATTTCGCAGATTTTGTAGGCATTTTCTGCTATTTGCAGACGATATAGTTGGCGGATTGGCAAAGACCCCGCCACACGACGCCCCTGGTCCGGCAATCGCGTTCAAGCGAATAATAGAAATCCAGCACTTTACTAATCTAATCTATTTTTGTTCACGGGAATATTAAAATTTTTAGGTGTTCTACTTGAACCGAACCCGATTAAACTACTGTTCAATTGCCCGGTGTATGTATCAATAAAATAGGTAAACGATGATAAGGGGGAGATAACACTGCCTTAACAATAAACTCGATGGCGGATTATTGATTAAGCTTATTATTACATTGATAAAATAGCATATTTTTGGGTTTTCGATCTAATCAATTATTTCAGTGGGTGCTTGAGAACTTGCTGATTTGGTCAGCAACAAAATCATACAAATCATCTAATTACACAATTTTCATTGGTACACTTAAGTAATAGTGAAAGCACTAATTCACCTCTGGTAAACGAGCCGGCAAAGAGAGACTTAAAAGTATGCATTTTTCACATTATTTTTAAACTATATATTTTAATGAATGAACAATTGTTTAAATACTTACTCAGGTAGGCGCACATGTGTGCTTCAATATATGTTTTTAAAGTGCGCGAGAACATCTTCAGTTTATGAACGTATTCTAATCAAGCTGTTGACACCGCTTGACTAAATTGAATATTCAAATTCACGACTGAAAAACAAATTATTAACATTAGATAACAGATCTATAATTTACAATTTAAATCACTCTAGATACTTACTTCCTTACATCAATGTCCCATCTGAGTTGACCATTATGCTCAACAAAAGCGATTGATTCGAGTAATTTGAATCCAAACACGAGTCGTTTGGCCAACGGGATAAAACTCTGATTCCATTTATCACTGACTGAAGTAAACATTTTTTTCGCATTAAGGAACATGTTAAAAGTTTACGAAATTCCGCGCCGTCCATCATTTGGCAAATTTCATTCGGAAAACTTGTTTTTATCAACTGCAATATTCACTAATGGAAGGTAGCGGTATAGTGGCCATTATACATTAAGCTTTTGTTTTTTTCTTAAGAGTTAAAAACTCAATTGAAGTGGACTAAGTGTATTGGTCTGATTTATTTGAATCAAGTGCATTACAAATCGGCATACACTATATTGAGGTCAACGATTTGCATATTCAGTCTGTAATGGTAATGTGCATTTTTGATTGGCGTGCATCCGCCATCTCGTCCACACCACAAAAAAAACACCATTCTTGACGAATTTGCTGTTGATAACACAAAATCTATCAACTTAAAGTAGTCAATTTTTATACTTTTTATTTTTGTCCTAAAGAACACATGCGTGAATATCGGGTTTTTAATACACGAGCACATCAACAGGTATGCAAATGGGCAAATAAATGGCGTTTCCTTAAAGTATGTACTTTTTCGAAGACACCGTTTCGGAAAAACAACGGTAAATTTTCGATCAATCAAAAGTCCCCACTAAGAGCTACAAGACAACTTGTGTCTTGTTGCCTATATAAAGCTCACATCGACTCAAAACGGCAGATATTGCGACTGAACCAAGCAAACATGATCTGGAACAAAGTATTACTTTATTGCTCCTTATTGGTTGCAATCAAATTTGCTGGAGCGTCAGAAAATGATACCGCAGGTGAGAATATTTTTACCTGATCTATTTAAGAAGGTTCCTTGCATCCATTTTGTCAAGAATTATTATTTGAGTTCAATCGGTGATTTTTTGCTAATGCCTTCTAGAATAAATTAAAAATTAATTAAATTAGCTTTGTAATATAGATGCTTTTTATTAGTTTTAGCCCACGATAGTGAAATAGTGAATTTAAAGAGCGTGTTGCCGGTTCCCGAACTAATACGACAGTCGTCCAGACGTAAGCAGAAATCCATGGAAGTTAAATATGATGCTAACAGTAAACTTCCCGTGTTAAGTACCTTGCAGATCACCTTCCCTTGATCATCCGAAAATATCATACATTATTGGTAAGGAAAAAGTCGATTATGCAACGGCCGCCGTTATATGCCAGCAAATCGGGATGACTCTCGCCACTCCCATGAACCAACAAGAAGAAACTGCCTTGGTAGCGGCTTGGCGAGCTCTGGATGGGGCACAGGGTACGTTAACGCATATTTAGCCAGTGTATTTTCTTTTAGATCAACATTAAATATAAATTATATTCATGTTTCAGCTGAGGGTTTTTATATAGGAGCGAAAAGGTGTAAGGGCTGTCCCACTAGTTTCTACTGGGAACCCACGGGAAAGCCAATTGTTTACAGCAACTATCTTGAAAATCAACCCGACAATTCACAAGGTGTGGAGAATTGCATCGAGTTGACTTCCACGCATGGACTAATAGGTTGGAACGACATCAACTGTGGAGTGAAGCGAAAATATGCTTGCCAATCACCCGGCATTATCCACTTATAAAATTTTTGAAGTAAAGTTAAAGTTTGATAGTGCAAATGTTCTTGTATTTTATTTCAAAACACCTTGATTCCTTAATACCATAAGACCAGGAATGCATGTTTCACATAAACGTTAACGCTTCCATCTCTTCAGAGATTACGAATTTCTAATAAAGCCAAAATTGTGAAAAATACTTCTAGAGGAGTACTTATTGAATAAATGGATATTTGCACCCGATTTTTAGATATAGAGGTTTTAACCTTTGAGGACTGCGAAATGGTCCCTATAACAAATCTCCTTACGCACTAAGAATTCGGTAAAAAACCTACTTGTTGAAAGAAAGCTATAGAGGTGGGCTATCGAAAAGGTTCTTGCAACTTTACATTTTCAACCGATTCGAAGAAAAAATGTTTTTACATTCTCAAGCGCGGGGACAAAGCGCTCCTGCGATCTTCATATCAGGTTCTTCCAAAAAAAATTCCCAAATGCATGCGTTATTTCAAGCAGTTTTCAATAGGAATCTGACCTGGATTTATGGGGCAAATTCCTGTACCTTTTGCATCATAAATTAGATTTCCGTCGATAAATCTTATCTATCAGCGAGGTAACTTTTTCAAACCGTTTCTTAGATAAAATATTCTTTTGATACCACGCAGCCTTTCACAAATCGTTATATTGTTTGCTGAAATATGCCCAACGATAAATTTTATCCATGATATAAAAAAACATGATAGTTGCAATAAAACTATATATTTAAAAACATATTTACATATTTAATAAATGCCACATATTATAAGCACACACATATGTATGATTTAAGATCCGATAAACAAAGTGTTTCCCATTTTGCCCATCAAATTGCTACTTTAGAAGGAAGTGGAAAATGTCGAAATCAAAGCCCTGCTGAATAAATGTTGCAACTAAAAGTAAAAGAAGTTTTCAAGAAGTTATTCATTAAACTATAAAAATTACAATAAAGTTTTCAACATTCATTGAATCAGGAATCATTTCAAATATGTATTCCTTATTATTCACAGATCCGCAGTGAAACACCCTGACTCGAAAATATAAGCTAAACTTTGGTATAAGTTGGTGACTGGCGGTGTTGTTGCTCCATGTCCAGCTGCTTGATTCTCGCATAGCCAGCGCTGGCCACCAGGATAATCAAGTTGGAGAACCACCACATAAACGACTTGGTTTCCTGATACCAATAGGTGGCTAATACTGTTTGAGCACATGCTTTTGCTGTGCCTGATATGTTGTGGGTGAGGGCAGAAGTAAACTGGAAAAACCGTTAGTTATTAGAATTGGTTATTAGATTTAGATTTAACTATATAAAACATACTTTGATCTGCAAGGACGTGAAAAATCCTATCATAAACCCGCATAAACCGCCGCCAATTAGAATTGTCCAGAAGAACAGGTCGGTGAGACGGGGATAATTGAGGACTACTTGCACTTCCCCGGTTAGGAAAATTATCGGCAGGAATAGAATGGAAGCGTACACGTTATTGGCGTACTGAAGGAGCCAAATTTCTCCGTCAATTTTTGGGAGAACTTTCTTCGTTAATATGGAGAACAATGATAAAGAAAACGAGCCCACTATTCCGAAAATTGTTCCTGCTACTGAAAGGCTACCTGCAATACATTGATTAAATAAAAATGTACTTAAGTAGGCGCTTGACGCCAATAATTTCACGCTTTTTTCTGGCTGCTTCTACTACTGAACTTGTCTTACCTGAAAAATGTTCTTCGTCAACACCAAGCCAGAACCCTACAACAATAATAGCACAGCATAGCATGCATCTTTTAGACGTTCTTTCCCCCAAAATAATATAGGTCAGCAATACATTGAAAATGGTAGTCAGCGATCTTCCTATGTAATAGAAAGCCACCGAGACGTATTTCAAACATAAGTTGTTAGTAGCTATCATGCAGGTAAACATAATCGAGACGGGTAATATCTGAAATACATTGATTTTGATGCAAATGTTCCATTTTTTTTAAATTACTCGTTACTTAGAAATTGGCGATAAAAGCGCGAATTTGATAGCATCGGAACGAGTGAAAATGCGCCACACATGAGCATTGTATACAGTTTAATAGAATGTATACAGATTTTCTGTCTACTTATAGTGGATGACAGTCATATCTTATCTTCTAGTGCGTAGTAGATTGTAAGTCAAGTTCTTATATAGCAAAACTGGATAAAATTCTTCAACGCCTTTAGAAATCTCGCCACATAAAACAACCTGAGGTTTTTCATGTTAATCATTTACTATGTTGGCAAATAATAAACGGCTTAGTGGCTAAATGGCATTAAATTTGACCTCGAAACTGCCACTAATGTTCTCACCTGCCTCATTACATGAGAGTCCCATATATTTGCTTCAGGGAAACTGAACCTGTTCGGGTACAATATGCTCAAAACTTTCTTCCCATAACAGATAAGAGCCGTAACAACAGTTTGACTGAAGTTAATGAACATTGGGGCATCTAGCTCAATGTGGCTCAGTAAAGTTTTGTTCATAAAAACGGTGGATATTGACACTATCCTGGAAAGTATTCGGTGCATTTTTTAATCCATGGGCTCAGCTAGAACTTACCAATATCCGCTTACTACCAGAAATATAGTAATGTATTTGCTAAGTAAACTATCCTGAGCAGTCATTTTTAGGTGCACTTTTAAACTAATTAAGAATGTGTTAGTGTAAGATATATGATCTGAATACGAAGGGTCTGAACACGATATACAATGGTGAGGTGGATTTCATACGTATCATTGTGGCATTAATCTCAATTACAAGTTTTTATCAATATTTACGGAAAATTTGTTTTCGTGGCTTTTCAAAATAACCAAGGTTATGTTGGCGGGTAGCTTCTAAAGGGTGTGCGATTGTCAATCTGCAGCCTGTTTAGGTGTGGTCCATTTAAGCTGGACGTATATTATTTCTTAGCAAAAACCACAATATTTTACCTTAGAAGACAGGAATTATTAAATACTCCAAATAAACTATGAGCCTGTTAATTTTTCATTAATATACTGCCCTTAAAACAAGGTTGAATCTCCTGAAGAAACGCGACATTTTCAACACAGCATGCCACTACATAACTGCGGTATGGCAACGTGGGAAAGTCTTTACAATGAAAACTTAACTTTATTTGCGCATTGCCAACTCGCCGATTTAGTCTGGGAACATTTGGTGCTTTTTCCGATTTTGAACTAAACTGAAGCGCAGTTCTTTTCACATGTTTAAAAAGAAGTTGACCTAAATCACGTTACACTTTGCAATGAAAATGCTGTCGTTTCTTTCCGCCAATTAAGTTTTGATTTTAACTCTATTGTGGTATATTTCTTATTCTGGAGGATGCACAGACAGGCAAAAGCACTGAAGGGTTATATACTGAGATATTTTTTGAGTTAAAAATGGGCTTTTAACGAGGAAGTCATTGATAATTAGGTGCATTCAACGGTTGAAAACTTCTGCGCACTTCTTTTGTTGTAAACCGTCGGCGACGGTTGGGTAGTCGCGTTGAGAAAGCTGGCAACCCGGCAATAAAATACTCCTCGCCTTTCCTGTCGGTCGCCATGTTTTGAATGGGCGACTAGGCCTTGCGATAGTTGAAAATGCCAAAAATATCGAATGCATTCTCAATTTTGATCGTTACGTGAAGTATCCAATTATTCTTTGGAGTGTGAAATCAACGTTGAAACTGTTTTTAAGTGCGGATGACCGACATTTGAGTAGATATTTTGTGATTACAACTATGGTAAGTTTTCCGATTTTTCGACGGGATCAATATGGCGTCGTTTTGCTAAAATCTCTTTGTTCATCAATCAATTCCAAATGGTTATTGCACGGTTAATCCGGTCGGTTTGGGAAAAAAAATGCCCATTTCAGTATAGATTGAACTTCTAGCTGAATGTTACCCGCTTTCAGTACGGTTTTCCTCAAAAGTTCAGTTTTTGCGTTCGCCACGGTATTTTCCGGGGATGCTCTATCGATTTTTGCATTTGCAGACATTTTCTGAACAAACCTGGATCTCGCACCATCCTCAAGGCAAAGTTACGGGTCTCATCTACTGTTGCGCAATAGTTTGCAAACGTTTATTTTCGAAATAAATTGGAAAATTCGGCTTGTAATTAAGGGCGCGATTTTTAAAATGGGGATTCATTACGGCGTTGCCACGGTTGCCAGTTTAATTTGTTTATAATTCATTCAAATCAGGTAAATATAAAACAAGTTTTCTAAAGAACATTCAGAGCTGGTGATGCACGTGTATAATACGGTGTCCGCCCTATAATTCCAAACAAGCTAAATAAATTAAGTTAATAAACCTCTTTTAAGCAGTAGCTCGTGAATTTCACTGAACTCGCCTTTGCACAGCTTGTCCCCTATCGGCTTGATTGACGTGAAATACAACCGATAAGGAATAAAACCAAAATAGTCTTCTAAACCTCTTGCTGCTCTCAATGAGGCACGATATTTCATGATGATTCAGCAACATTGAGAAAAGGCACAATAAATTTATGCTCCTTTCTAACCGTCTTGAAAAATTCAGCTGTTATGGTGGCTGTTTATACACGAGATTAAGGGTAAGGCTTAAGGCATAAGAATAACGCCAGTTGGGGCGTATATAAATATTGTGCATTAAAATGGGTGTCCATTGAAGAAGTTGTAGCTCTTTTTGGTTTAATAATTTCGTTTTCTAACCTCAACAACAAAATGTAAATACCATGTTTGGCGGTCACGCGGGATTTTGGAATGTCATTTGTCGTACGAACTGCGCATGCCTCAGTAGAAAACAACTAACGCATAAGATAAAGTTGGGCGGGCAACTTTCTAAAGCCATATTCCTTGACCGTTAGACACTATTCGGTTTATAAACGCAACATCTGTTGCTCGTTTAACAACATTCGTCCGTCGTCGTACGAATTCGTTCGAAATCTCCAGCCAATAGAAACACTTTCGTACATCGTATTAGGGATGACACAAACCAGTATTTTTCAGCACAGGTTCCATATGTGAGTGTTCTAAGCTCGTACCTGTTCCAAGTATCTGTGATTTTTAGTCACATGTTATTTTGGCCCATGATAAATATTGGTTTGTACCTGTAGCTGGGCTGAAGCGTATTTTGGGTCCAGTCAGATTCCACTTTAAAAGGCCTGTTTATTGGAAGTTGTTCGGAAGGATGTCAGAATATTGAGACAATGGTTTGTGCTCGACTTCCGGCTGTGGAACATTGTTTATTAACAATTATTTATAAATAATTAAAGAAAGTGCAAAAGCCCGTTTTTTATGCATAATTGTCGAACCGTTGATGCTATTGAAAAATTTTTTATCATTTTTTCAAGTATTAAAAATACCTATGATATCAGATAAACTACATTAAAATCCGTTCATTAGTTTACTGAAAAATCGAAAAAAAAAAACCGTCGATTTCAGCGTTTTGTTAATTTTCAATAATTAATTTGGTTTTGTTTCACGAAAATGGTACCATAACTTTCTTTGGTCAGTCAGTAATGAAATTTTCATTTACTGTACGTTGTAGTATAACTCTTTACGAGTAAAATACAGCCTCAGAGAAGTCTCTCCGACGTCTCAAGAAAAATTTATTTAGAATCTGGCAAGAGCCCTTTTTACATAACAAATAGGAATGAACAAAAAGATATGAATATTTGGAACTAAAATTTATACCACTTATAAAGTATTAAAAAATTAAAACAAACACCTTCAAAAAAGTTATAGTGAGATTTTTTGCCTTGATTGAGAATGCCTTTTGTTCCTTTATGTAAGCAAGGGCTCATGGTCAAAAAAAAGTCATAACATTTTTTATGAGTAACGTTTTACCATTTTATCGAAACTTTATTTGAACTCAAAAAAAGGTGACTACATTTTTTATATTTCCCACTTAAGGGCAGTAAAATGTGAAAAATCTTCTATTTTCATGCTAATCATTGATTACAATTCATTTTATCGCTTTATTGAAAATTGGCCATTTAATACTTCAGCTATGTTTGATATAAACAAATATTGAAACATTTCCAGACTAGGTAAATAGCGCCTATACAAATTTAAATTTAGTTCGTCCACTACTCCACTGGGCAGATGCAACAAATGCTATTTTATTTCAGAAGCACTGCTATTGGTCGAAAAAGATCAACTTTCAAGGGCAAGGAACAGCCGAATTCCAACAGAATTCCGAAAAAACAGTCAGTCAGTCACAGCCTGTGACTCACCTGGCCTGGTCACATTCAAGAAAATATCGGAGACGGCGGTTACTGCTGTTCCCGATATTTTCTGTTCATTGAATATTGCTATTTGCCGAAACATGGCTGCGTGGATTCGAAAATCATCGGGTCCCACGTCCCACTCCCATACATACAAAAGCTTACCACTTCACGAGAATAAAATATCTCCTTTCACTAATACTCAGGCCAATTGACAACGCCGCGGGGAATCAAAAGGCACAAAGGCAGGTATTTGCCTTTTTGCTTTGTTGAAATATCGAAATACCATGTTGTACTGGTCCTGACCAGCATCGTAGGCGAGCCCGGTTATTTCAAATCACATGTTATTTTAAGTATCGGTTACAGGTACCGACTGTTCCATATCGATATCTGTTCCAAAATACCTGTGACACGTATTTCGTGCATCCCTACATCGTATAAACGGATGCAAGGGACACGGGCTTTAAGCGTTAGGCATTATTCGGTTTATAAACACCTCTATGGACTGATGCGCAACAAACTTTTAAGATAGAATCGTTAAGCATTATTCCTTATTCTCGTGTATAAACCCATCATTAATCCACGGCGTTTATTCTTCAGTTCCATCAGTAATGAGCGATGATACACCGGGGGCAGGGCAGGGTGCTCTGCATCCGCGCGAGGGCCAAAACCTTCGAAACACCACGGCAGCAGAGCGCCCTACAATGCGACTGACTCAAGTAGCTGGGGGCCAGTATGTGCTAACTACACAACAACATGGCGTTCCTGCTTTAGCACAGGTATATTCCGTATGCATTAGGATTGTGAAAACCGCAACATAGTTGTAGGAAGATATTTATTTATTTAAAGTTTTATTAACTAAATAGAGCTGTATATCCCCCGACAGCTTAGCCCAGGAAATGTGCAACAGGGTGTAACTCGTATCATAAACATTAGCCCCTCCAGAGGACAAACATCGCCCTTACGACCTAGCGTATCCAATCAGTCAATAGTAAATGTTTTGACTAACAGGGCTACCCCTAATGCACGTCTTCAGGTGTTCGCCAATAATGGTGGTGTGGTTCCAAGTACATCTTCAGGTACATATGAAGAACAAAAACTATTGCTAATTTCAATTCAATTTTACACTCACAACACAAACATGATGATTCTAAGCAATTGAGAAAAAGGTCAATCCATTCATACCCTTTTTCACCTATGAGAACAATCGAGGCATTTGTCTGATCAGTTATTCAATTTGAACTCATTTAGCTCAGGAATATTTCCTTCTGTAAACCAAGAATATCTTTTAGGAGTAACAACTCCTATCCATTCGAGGATGGCGAAACGTCCGTTATCTTCTACGCCAGAGAAAAAAGACTCTTATGCGGTTAAGCTGCAACGAGTAACCAACCACCGAATAGTCAAATCAAAGCTGCTGAAGGAAAAGTATGCGGAAAACCTGCTTGAACTGTTCTACTTGGAGACGGGAGGCAACATCTTGGATCTGTATCAGTACGCGAAAAGACCAAAGACCTCAGATTATGTAGCTTACCTGAAGGAACATGCAATCGATGCGGAAGAATATTTAAATTACTCTATTTGTATTCCATACACGACTCCCAGCACGCCAACGGCAACTTCCGCCAGTTCCTTACCTGGGAGTTCCTTCAATAGCACGCAATCGACCACACCAGTTATATATACTCCTTCATCACCTGCGTCTGTGGTTTCTGATAACCTATCATCTATCAGAATGAGTACAACGTCTAATTCGACGATCTGTACCAGTCAAGAGCAAATCGTTGAAAAGGCCAAACAAGAAGCGTATGTCGTGCAGCGGGTTAACGAATTGCAGAAGGAAGGTCTGTGGTCGGAAAAGCGGTTACCTAAGATACAGGAAATGCCTCGATGCAAGGCTCATTGGGACTATTTGTTGGAAGAAATGGTGTGGTTGGCGGCTGATTTCGCACAGGAGAGGAAGTGGAAAAAAGCCGCCGCAAAAAAATGCGCTCGGATGGTTCAAAAATATTTCCAAGACAAATCGCTCGCTGCTCTGAAAGCAGCAAAAGCACAAGAACAGCATTTGAGGCGTATTGCATCATTTTGCGCCAAAGAAGTGAAACTCTTCTGGTGCAACGTGGAAAAGTTAGTCGAGTACAAGCAAAATACCATTTTAGAAGAGAAACGAAAACGGGCTCTGGATCAGCAATTAAGCTTCATCGTTGATCAAACTGAAAAATACTCCCAGTTATTAGCAGAAGGTAAGTTAACTTGGCACATCCAATACAAAAACAAATTACATTTGAACTCTTGTATGTTAGGAATGAATAAATCTGCTGTTGATCTGCCATCCGCTAAAGTTTCCGGGCAGTCTGCTTTAAAGCATCAGTCTGATGATGAATTCGACCCTCACGAGCAAAGCGAAGAGGATGACGAAGAGACGATTGCGCAAGAGGAAGCAGCGTTGGGAAATTTTGATCAATCAGCCGAAGTCGAAGCGTTACAAAGAGAATCTCAGTTGGAATTGGATGATTTACTCGAAGATGACTTCTTGAAAGATTACCTTTTAAACAGGGACAACATACGGTAAGAACGTTTTTCAATTTGTTTGCACCATTACCATTACAAAGATGTACAGGGTAATCCATTTTCAACACTTTTATAGGATCTCCGTAAAACTTTTGCTCGCTTAAGAAAATTAAAGAGGAATTATCATAATTAATGATTGACCTAATTTTTTTTCTCGATATTTTCCGCATTTCATATAAACTGATTTATAAATTGTGATTTATTAAGGCTCAGCGGTTCTGACGATTCCGATATGGAAAGTGAAGAAAAAAAAAGCAAAAAATCTGATCCGGAATCTGCAGGCAGCAGAAAGTCTAGTAATAAAGCCGCTAGTGAAAAGGAATCGAAGTCCGATTCAAGCGAATCCGACGATGATTTGGATTCTGATGATGAAAGCAATTCGGAAGAACTCACGAATTCTCAGGTAGAAAACCAGAGCTTAAAGTTGCTGATGGGCGATTTAAAAACTGAAGGAGAAAGAGCAAAGACTGATGAAAAAGACGCACTTATCAACGATGCGGCTGCAATCGCAGAGAGCATTCAACCGAAAGGCAACACATTGTCTTCCACCACTGTTTCGACCAAAGTACCTTTTCTTCTCAAGTTGCCATTGCGAGAATATCAACACATTGGTTTAGAGTGGCTTGTGACGATGTACGACCGAAAGCTAAACGGAATATTGGCCGATGAAATGGGGTTAGGAAAAACTATCCAAACAATTGCTCTTTTGGCTCATCTCGCTTGCGAAAAGGAAAACTGGGGACCGCATCTTATTGTTGTTCCAACCTCTGTGATGTTAAATTGGGAAATGGAGTGTAAAAAGTGGTGTCCTGCCTTCAAAATTCTAACTTACTATGGATCACAAAAGGAAAGGAAAATGAAAAGAACGGGATGGACAAAACCAAATATGTTCCACATATGCATTACATCGTATAAGTTGGTTATTCAGGATCATCAAAGCTTTAGAAGAAAGAAGTGGAAATATCTAATTTTAGATGAGGCGCAAAATATAAAAAACTTTAAATCTCAGCGATGGCAACTTCTACTCAATTTTCAAACTGAAAGGAGGTTGCTGCTGACGGGAACTCCGTTACAAAACAATTTAATGGAATTATGGTCGCTGATGCATTTCCTGATGCCAAACGTGTTTCAATCGCATAGAGAGTTTAAAGAGTGGTTTTCCAATCCAGTAACAGGAATGATCGAGGGCAATTCTGAGTATAACGAAAGTATTATTAAAAGACTGCATAAGGTACTGAGACCGTTTCTGCTGCGAAGGCTCAAGTCAGAAGTAGAGAAACAGATGCCTAAAAAGTACGAACATGTAGTCATGTGTCGTCTTTCTAAACGACAGAGATTTTTGTACGATGACTACATGTCTCGAGCAAACACTAGAGAAACTCTTGCCAGCGGTAATTTGCTTAGTGTGATCAATGTCCTTATGCAGTTACGGAAAGTGTGCAACCATCCTAATCTGTTTGAAGTTCGCCCAACAATTTCTCCCTTTCAATGTGAAAACATCGAAATGCACGTGCCCTCTATCGTCTACTCGGCAATAAATTACGATGTATTTAAGAACGTCGACTTATACGCCTTGAATTTAGTTCTAATTATGTTGGAAATGCACCTTGGAGCTTACCAGTGCTACCGATTGAGGCAATCCTGGAAAAAGGCACTACATCTGGATCAAGCAAGTAGTCAACAACCCTTGTGTCCTCCATGTAAATTGAGCATGAAAGTCAAAGTGCGAGACATCAAGCAGGAAAATAAAGAAATGGTAGTCCAGGCTCGGAACGTTTCTAATGCACAGCCGAATGTTAAAATGAAAGTGGCAGGTTTACAAGTGCTGAGCCAAGGAGTTGTAAAAAGTAAGTAACTTTTCGTTTTTATTGAATTCAATTTGGTAAAAATCAATTTTTCATGATGACAACAAATACCATTTTCTTGAATCGGGGTCTTCCCACTTTGATAGCTTGAGGCATTTGTCTGATAACCCATATGTATCATATAACTGCCATTAAATTACATACCATCCCATCTACTAACCCATTTTTTTGCAGCTGTGCCGCTCATTAATATCTCGCAAGCCGCTGGTGGCCAAGTTCAATTGGGCACCCCCATAAATGTTTCCTCTGTTTTAAAACCCTCCGATAAAGTGCCCACTAGTTTTGCTCAACTAGTGCAAACATCCACAGGAAAGCATTTGTTATTGACATCCAATCCTAATAGAACAGGATCTGTGCCTGTCAGTCAGGCTACTGCAGGTATTTATTTGCCCTCCTGGTTTCAAATTGTATTTAAATTGGTTATTAAGTTGAGTTTGGAAGTTTTTAAAATTGAAAAGTGTTTATCATTCATAAACTTTCCTTAGGATTTCGTTCAGATTTCTTAAAAGCTCTCAGCGTACAGGAAAATAAACTGCGAGTTGCGTTAAAGTTAATTAATTTACCTGCGATTTTTATGTATGAAACATCCTGTATTTATATCAATGAATCATTCACTAGATGAGTTCCATTGTCTTATTGAATTGAGCCTTTTAAATGTTTTTTTTTATTTCAGGTGGCCAAAAACTAACCTTTTTGTCTACAAAGCAGCCTATTGTTACTAATGTGAACACACCACAAGCAATAACGAAAGCTTTTGTAAAATTTCAATTGACCTCAGTGACAACTGGTACAACTACAACATCCTCGGTAGGTAAAGTAGTTGTTTTCGATAAAAAGTGTTGCAACATCATAATTTCATACTAAGTTTAATAATTGATATTCTTTCTATAACAGTCTATGAAACTTGTAGAATTCTACTGCAACGGCGAGAGTAGGCGAGGACGGAATGAGGAGTGTAAATTCGAATTTTTTAGGACAACTGTATTCAAAACAGAACAATTTAGATGTTCGGTGGCGAAAGGATGACAATAGAAGAATTAGCAATCAGGTAATTTGCCTGATTCATTTTTGTATTGGTAAAACTACAAAAGCGTTTCTTATTTATTATTAGGTACAAGATGATACGAAAAACGAATACAAAAGAAGACTGCAACTAATGGCGCGAATCAACGAGCGGCGATGCTCCGCATTACCTCTCTATGGCAGGGATTTTCAAGATGTCATAAAAATATACCAGCCAAATACAACAAATTCATGGAATGGCGGACATATACACTGCTTGAATGTTCTCTTTGATAAAAATTGCGAAGACACCAGTAGCTTTCTCAAAGATGCATTGTATAGTCCGGAACGTAGGATAGAAGAGCTGAAAGAAATTTCCGACAGGTAAACAATATTTGAAAATTCCTGTCGCTTCAATGATTTATGACACATTTTCGCTTGGATCTAGGTTTATTTTCTACGTACCTGCTGTTAAAACGAAGGAACCAGAAATTCGAGTATGGCATCCTCCACCTAGCGAATATTGGGCCCGATTTGAAGAAAAGCGCCTCATAAAGTATCTGTTTTCCAAACCAGCCACACCGCTACATCACATTGCTTCTGCCATGGTTACTCAGTTCCCTGATCCCAGACTAATTCAGTACGACTGTGGGAAGCTACAAACACTAGATAAACTACTGAGACACCTGAAGACTGATAGCCACAGAGTGCTCATATTCACTCAAATGACAAAGATGCTGGATGTATTGGAAGCATTTCTCAATTTTCACGGGTATATTTATTTGCGTCTCGACGGTACTACCAAAGTGGATCAGAGACAGGTATTTAAAGCGGTCCTATCAAACCATATTTGCATCTTTTCAGTACATTTCTATTTTCAGGTGCTTATGGAACGGTTCAATGGAGACAAACGGATATTTGCATTTATATTATCGACACGATCCGGCGGTGTGGGTGTTAATCTTACTGGAGCTGATACTGTGGTGTTTTACGATTCGGATTGGAACCCAACTATGGATGCTCAGGCTCAAGATCGATGCCATCGAATTGGACAAACGAGGGATGTCCATATATACAGGTAAGGACACATTTTACTTCCAATATTTTTGCCGCGTTATTTCGCGTTACTAGTCTATAGACTTGAATATATATGTGCCTTCCTGATCCAATGTTTTTGAATCACTCCATATTCATTGATTATTTCCAGGAAGGAGAGCAAAGAGTAACTTACCAAGCAGGATTATTTATCAATAATAATCGCGCATGAATGTTACTGACATTTTCTTTTCAATAGATTTTTAAATATTTTTTTCATTAAATCTTGATTAATTTTTATTGGGATTTGTGATTTATCTTACAGACTAGTGAGTGAAAGGACAATTGAGGAAAACATACTGAAGAAGGCCAATCAGAAGCGACTGCTTGGAGATTTAGCTATTGAAGGCGGAAACTTCACTACTGCTTACTTCAAGAGCGTAAGTACTATTAAATCCTCAGTTTCACTGTTGTGAGTTATCGGTCGGAAAATCAGCTTATGTTTAACTGGGACTATAATCGGCACTTATACAACGTTTACTTACAGACTACTATTCAAGATCTGTTTAACATCGATCAAACATTGGAAACGGCCGCTCAGCGTATGTCCGAAATTGTCGAAAATAGCCGGGAAGTGTCCGCGACGCCTATAGACACTGCAGTAGTCCAATCAGAAGATAAGTCTGCCGCTGGGGCCTTAGAGACCGCGCTTGCTGCCTGTGAAGATGACCAAGATGTACAGGTAAGGAAACATTGCGATTTGTTTAAGGGAAACGTATTTGTTCACGATATTTATGTTCATTACAGGCTGCAAAAATTGCTAAAGCAGAAGCAGTGGCTGATCTCGCAGAATTTGACGAAAACATTCCATTGGAGCAGGACAGTGAGCGGGAGCCAGAGGTAGTAAGCAAAGCCGAGCAGGAGATTAATAACATTATTAAAAAGGTAATTTCATCAGTCTACCTGTAACACTATTAATTTGAAACTGAAACGTAAATGTTAATTGCAGTTGTCACCAATCGAAAAATATGCCATGAAGTTTATTGAGCAGACAGAATCGGCTTGGTCGGCTGAGCAACTTGCTGCCGCGGCGAGGCAAATAGAAGAACAAAAACGCGAGTGGGAAGAACAACAAATGGCAGCGATGCGTGAAGAGGAAGAACGACGTCAGCGCGAATTAGAAGAGGAAAACGACATGATTACTTACAGCCGTGAAGATGCCACTAATCAGGTTAGCTTAAAACATAGAAAACATACTCGTTTCAGAAAGGTGTTTCGGAGGACTAAAGCCGGGGTGAAAGTGTTAAAACGAAAGCAATCTTTACAAACTAAAGTACCACGATCTAAACGTCTCAAAAGGCTTGCAAGTAAAGCTGCAATTATTGTGAAAACTGACGATGGTGGTAACTCTAGTGACCCAGTAGAAGAAGTACATGAAACTGAAGATTTTACGGAAGCCGCTCAAGATCCGGCAGGTGAATGTTCTTTGGATAGCATTCGATCGGAATCGGATTTAACATTATCCGAGTTGAAAGAGTCTGGTTCAATTCCAGCTATTGATGCAACAATCAGTTGCATTGATAACCATGTCGATCACAACTCACCACGAACGAGGTCTCGCGGAACGGTAGCTATCAATTTGTGGACGTTAGATGTTAGTCCAATTTTACCCAGTATTAAACGCATCAGAAATAAAGTCACTAATTCCTCTATCGACCACGATTGCAAAAAAATTGCTAAAAAGCGAAAGTCGTGCTCTGATGATGAGGGCAAAGATCTGAATAGTAAACAGAACAATTTTAAAAGTATTCGGACAAGAACCAGGCGAAAAGCTGCAGAGTGTGCGGAAACCAATAAAAAATCGCCAGCCACATTGGAAGAGACTGAATGTGAATTACACAATTCAAATAATGTGCCATCTCAAGTAATTTGTAACGACATAGATACAAAGGGAGAAAATCTTCCTGGTATGTGCCTCGATGAAAACGGTCAAGCTCTAAAAATGTCTAGAAATGTATCCGCAAATTCTCTCGATTCTGGCAAAAACGGAACATGTCCAGCTGAATCTCTCGATTCGGATAGTAAACACTCAAGTACAGAACTATCCGTTGAAAGTATGGATGTTGATGAAATCGAGCAACAACACGAGACAATTATTTTGAATAATCCGTCAAGTGATGTTAAACATAATGTCGATAATGAGTGGAAGAGAGCGGTGGACGTTGACAAGGAAGATATAGACTCATTTGTATCAGAGTATGAAGAAAAACAGGTTTCTAGTAATGCATTTGAAGATGTGAAGGACAATGAGAACTCTTTCATGTCTGAGTATGAACGAGAGTTACGTAAATCCCCTGAACCAAAACAGGAAAATAATTGTGATAATGCTAGTACGATCGTGTGCCCTAAAGGAGAATTTTATGTTGCCACCTACGTAAATACCAATGGAGTTGCAGGAAAGCACCGTTTGGAAATGCCCAAAGAAAATGTTCAAACGAATAATACATTGCGTAAAACATTTAATAGAATCGCTTTTAAACCTCCAGAATCTAGAAAAAACTTTAAACAATTTGATCCATCCAGTAATCAGACTTTGGATACGTGGGTCACTAGAAGTACTCCGCCCAGTAACATGGACTCTTAACCAAGGTTCCTTTGTATTATTTAATGAACATGCGTTTGTGCTCGAGTGTACAACGTACAAAAAAATGTGAATATTTGTGATTTATGTAATAAGATGTTTGTAAATATGAGATGTGTAGGGTTTAGTTTTTTTTACAGGAGCTTTGATTTTTCTTCAGAAGAATTATAAAATTATCCGCTTTTAAAGTATGCGCTTGTTCCAATGTGGTCATTACTTTTCTTTTAATTTTTAGAACTGTTTTCATACTATATGTTATATGCCATTTAACTTTCTGTTCTGGCTCTACTTTATTGCTGGTGGTTTTAATTTGGATTTATTTAAACAGTTTTTAATTCTCCACAAACAAACGGAATTTATAATTTATTAATTTACAAGTTTTCTTAAATTTTTATCCCATTGAAGGCTTATTGCCGTATATTACAATTTCCAATTATTAAATTAATTGTGCAATTGATAATAATACAATTTTCTAATTTATTTTATTCTCATGTACATGCCTAATGAACGAATTTTAGGCATCTGCAAATTAAGCTTTAGAACTTTAGGTAAATCAATTTGCGTTTTGTGATCGTCATTCTTGACGAGTAGATGGACGAAAGAGAAAGCAAAGGAACCTGTTTCATACATCAGCAAAACCTATGCATACTTTTTATTTTTCTATCATGAGTACAAGAAAATGGTTACTAAATTCTCACTTGCACATGAAAATGTAATTGACTATGTACATAGTATGGAATAAGTCTAGCATAACAAAAAAGGGGAAAAATAAAGAAGTTCTCTTGCGATTGTTCGGCAGTTTTATTTCGTTACGGGATCGGGCGCGGGTTTTGGTGCCTCTTTGCTCAAACTTGTCCTCAGGGGGCACCAAAACTTTGCCCCCGCCGGACATGAGTAAGGGGGCTTCTTTATCAAAACCTGCGGCCTTTCCGACCACCAAAACATTACATTTAATTATTGTCGATCCGAGCTTGGATGATTTAGTTTTACGTAAGCACGAGCAAAATCAACATTGAAAATTAAGTTTGTGCTGTTTCATCTGAGTAAGTTATAAAACAGTGGTAAGTATCCACTATCAAGTAATTTTTTTGTGAATGCAAATTTTACTGCCATATTTGTTTTAAATTTGCTTCGGGTTATGAATGGTCGCAGGTTTTGCCATCTGTTCAACGTTGTTGTTTTAAAGTAAAATGAAACTAATTGTGTTTTAGGTATGGGTCTCTGAAAATACCTTGGAGCTAATGCCGGTAAGTAATTTTTTGAAATAGTTTCGTTCATGTAATTGGATGACTAAGAGTGAAAATTTTTCACGTATTTGTTTAATTTTCATAAGAAATGAGAACCAGCTATTTTTAATTATAGTTAAGTAACCCTTTAATTTTAATGGTTAGATGTGGTGCCCTCCAACTCCACCGCAACAGGATGACGATGTTTACATAGATCAAACCATGGCTTTCTTATATGAAGATACTGTTATGTCGGAAACACAATTGCCTCCTATTTATGTAAAAAAAGAGTTCAAGCGACGATTAGATCCGAGCTACAACGTGGACTATCGCCGTCCGATAAAAGTGCCTAGGAGAGATGAAAGTGTTGTAAGCCCGCCCAAGTCGCTTTTCCATTCAAGCACTCTGTTAAAACTGCGGCGAGATATGAAGCTACAGAAATATCGCTCTCTTAGACCACCGTCAGTTGTAATACCTTGCAAGACATCGACTAAACCCGTAGATCCGGCTGTAATTCATAGCTGGACGATTCACGAAGATATGGCGTTGCTTAAAGTCATTAAAATATTGCAAGGTCTTCCAACAAATTTAATAGTAACGTATGCGGCTCAAACGCCGAACTGGGACTTTGCTGCTGATTACGTAAATTCCGTTGCGCTCGTGTATCGCTCTCCTAAACAATGTAAACAAAGGTAATTTATTTATTTATGTTTATGTTGCATTCGCAATAAACGTACATTGATTTTTCAGATACGAAGGACATCTGATGAACAGGGAGGAAGGAAAATATTCAACACTGGAGAGTCTGATCAAGAAAAAGAAAAAATCCCCCACACTGCAAAAGATTCCTCTTACGAATAAATCCAGGCCATCTCCAAGGACGTCTCAATTATACACACAAGACAACAATTCCACTTTTTGTCAAATGGTAGCAGATTCGTTTACCGCGTTAAAGTCCCTTGCTATTAAAAGACTCCCAACGACACGTACTGTCGTCAACAATCCTCTGATGAATAAAACGAAAAATACGCCAGTTTTAAATGAGTGTGGTATAGATTTGGAACACCCGCTTTTGCCTTTTGAAATAGCGGCGAAACGAGCGGAAAGGATAGCGAAGGAAAAGAAGGCATTAACACCGGAGCAATTGGCGAAATTGCAAATGCTTAAAGGTACTGTTGATTATGACATTATTTTCAGTCAATTTTTATTGATTTACGTTTTTATAGCCGTGTCGCAGCAGCAGCAAGCTCAGGGAGCGGTTTCTTCGTCAGGATCTGCGACATCTCAGTCAGCTTCTGGTATAACGACAGTTGTAACCGTACCTACTACACATGTTATCGTAACCTCCCAAGCTCCCATCGTTGTTACCACCTCTGCAACCATAGTCACCCCGTCTCCTGGTGCCCCGCTCTGTAAGTTTCCATTTAATTCCCAGAATTTCAGTCCGATATTAAATTACTTTTGAATTGCAGCCGGTCGTCCACAACGAATCATTGCTTCACCATTGCAAACGTCCACAGTCGTGAGTGTGTCTGGCTTGAGTCCGGCACAACTTCAAGCCGCTACCCAACGACTGATCGTTACTGGAGGTGCCGCGAAGGCGGTTACATCAGCTACAGGTGCTCAGGGCAAACAGTTTAGCCCAGCACAGCTGCAGATGATCCGACAAGCTGCTTCACTGAAAAATAACCAGTTCCGGTTACATGCAAACAGTTTGGCTCAGGTGAGCTTCTTAATTCGGCCGTTGAACCTTCATTTTACTACGTGTGATTCAATTTAGGCTTCAAAAGCGTCAACAGTCACAATTGCTGGCCAGCAGGCTGTAGTACAGTTCTCACAAGCTCAACCGCGTGGCCAATTCGTTCGTCAAGGGACGGTTACTGTTGGTGGAAAAACTGGAGTTTCAAGAACTGTTACTGACAGTGAAGTAGCTCAGTTGCTGAAGAAACAGCAGCAGCTGCAGCAGCAAAAGATGACAAGTGGCACTATTTCGCAAGTAAGTGTGGATTTGATTATTTATGTTTTTTTGCAACGTAATATTGAAATTACGAGTAAAATTAAAGATGAAGAGCTGCCAAGCAAAACCCCACAAGTCCGCCAGATAAAGAATTTTACCGATGCCGCAAAACTATTTTATAGTATAATTTTCAATTTGTCATTTAGTCGTTATTGAATTCGTATTGTTCTGGAATTAATATAAATCGCATTAAACGTTTGGGCATGTGGGGTTTTGAATAATTTCTTCAAACTTGTGATATTTTGCTTCAATAATCCATAAGACTACGGATCAGCCGTTAACTCCAATTTATAAATTTTGTGGCTTGTCACTCAGATCCATTAAATGTTCATTTTCCTTATATTTCTGTTTTATTTTCAGCCTTCGAATGCAAGTGGTGGAAATACCATTCATGGCTTAACTACTCAAGTGTTTGCGCAAGCAATTCAGCAAGCCGGCACTCCCGGTGCCCAAGTGGCCACTTTAGTGAAGGCGGTCCCCAGTTCTGGCGGTAAATATCAAATTCAACTTGAATCCGTGCTTTGTGAAATTAGAACGACATTATTTCAAATCATTTTAAGGAAAATTTACTGTGCTTGCAGCTACTCAAACTGTAACAATTCCTGTGAGTGGTGTCACACTGGCTGCTTCTGGTGCTAAGGCAATCGCTCCATCTCTGAAGCCAACGACGGCGCAACAATTGCGACACATGCAAATTCAGCAGCAATTAATGGCTCAGAAGAAATTGGCCGCTGCTGCTGCTGCTAGTGGACAGAAATTGAGCATTACTACAAGTGGCTCTAAAGGCTCAGGTGTTCAGACAACACAGCTAATAGTGGGCGCTAAACAGGCCATGACTGTTCAGCAGTTCCAGCAGGTTATTCGGACTCCGATAAATGTTGGCCAGGGGCCTGTCGTGCTGACAAAAGGTAGCACCTCGCGTGTTATTCCTGTGAACGCCGGTCAAGGCACTAAACAAACTATTCAGGTGAGGGATACATTCTAACTCAGCTACATGGAAAGCATTCTGTTTGCCTGATTGATTTTTGACTGAACTGGATTTTATCAATTTGCAGGTAGTGGCTGCTTCATCACAGGCGTTAAGCTCCGCTCTAAGGCCTCAAGGAAGTACTACAATCGCGGGAATCAAGCTTCAAAGCGCCGGAAATTCCTCGCAACAAGCATTGCTGTCACAAGTAACTGCAGCGTTAAATCAGAACGCTGTGAGACAGGTAATATGATCGCCAAGACTATTTTAAACGATTTATTTATTAATTTGTTATGTTGTGGTTTTTTTAGAATAGCCCAGTCAGACTTCAAACTGCATCCGGCCAGCCAATAGTGGCTGCAACTGGTCAATCGTCTACACTAAACGCGCAATCCCAATCACACAATGTCGAGCAAGTAAGTAGGTTTATGAGAAAATAATCACCATCCTATGTTTGTGCTGTTGTTTGTCATTGTTTTTCAAATTAAGCTCACTGGTTTCAATATTGTGATACACAGGATTTATTAATTATTTGCATCTGTTACATTTGTTTCCATTTTTTTGTGCCCGTATTATATTATTTAGCTTTTTGTACTAACTGCCACTATTATTTTCTTATTTTAGAAATAGAAATTTAGAAATACTTACTGTCAAGGACTTGATGATTGATGAACAATTTATAAAAATCAATTTGCAATAACAGTTAATGCTGATCCCAGATCAAGTTTCGCATGCATTCATCGTAGTGCCTTTTCGAAAAAAAACTGACACTTGCTTTGGATAATTTCTGTATATTTGTTACCGGTAATGTGCAAAATGCCTAGGCATTGTGCAAACTGACCAACTCGCCAGGCATTTTGCAGAATCGCTACTATGGGCAATGTGCCCATTGACTACGGTATTTTAGGCAATCTGCAAAATTTCGTACGCGTTAGTCAATGTGAGTATCACATTCGTTGAATGTTCACATTGACTAGACAATGGGCACATAATGCAGCAAAATTGTTGTTTCCTTTCTGCCGGGCGGCGATTATGCCAAACTTTGTTGTTCAGTGATACGGCAATGGCGGGCGGAAATAAAGACTTTTTGGTGAAATTAAATTCATGATTATATATCATTATAATTATTTATTTAATGAGAAACGACTATATTGTTTTATTAAACACAAACAGTTTAATGTGGTAAGATTATTTAACACTAATATTATAATTTATCAACAGCATTAAAGTATGAGAGCATAAATTTTAGCTCCATAACTGCGGATGTTTTTTAAATTTTTGTGCACACACAAAATTACGATATCAGTTTGTTTTCATTAGCGACATTTATATATTTCCAGCACATCGTTTCTCGAAAATCTTGTATGTTGTTTCATATTTAGTCTTTGATTTTCATTGGCAAAGATGTTCCCTATCAATTTCCCTGGTTTTTACATTCAAAAACTTCTCATTACTTCCGAAAAATCAAAATTTGTTTGCAAGACGCTAATAGGACAGGAATAAGAACTAACAATCAATAACCATCACTGGAAACGCGGTAAATTTTACAAAGTTGTTTGCTACTTAGGGTACTAAACAGTAAACTTTCCTTGAAAAACTAAGCAACGGAGCTCCGTTGCTTAGTTTTTCAAGGAAACTAAGTTTTTCAGGTAAACTAACCTGCACAATTTCGTAGCAACAGGTTTATGCACATTGTCTAGTCAATGTGAAGATTAAAAATATCTAAGACTCAGATTGACCAGCGCCTGCGGCATTTTGCAGATTGCCTAAAATACCGTAATCAATGTGCACGTTCCCCAAAGTAGTAGCAATTCTGCAAAATGCCTGGCGAGTTGGTCAGTTGCGTCAAATCCATGAGGCATTTTGCCGGATTTCGCACATTGCCGGTAACATATTATATTCATTTAACTTGGGTACATTAGTACTTACTGAAAGCTTTAGTTGCGTCATATCCCATCAAATAAAAGTTATTACTGTATCTATACTTGTGAAATTATGAAAGCACAGTTTAATTCACGTTTTAATATACATATATATTATTTATCAATTAAACAAAAGCTCTGTAAAGTAACACATTTTTGTAAATGTGTAATTCTTTATGGCAAAACGTTTTTATTTTTAATTTTTAACTGCACTTCCCACAGCTCGGTCACGATAAATATGGCTTTGTCTTGCATTCGCATGATAGTACTGTGTATATTATGGAATCAGCATTAAATATAATATTTGCTCCAGAATGGCTTCAACACAAAAGTGGTTTTTGAGCTGATGTATATATAAGGTCTTGTGGTCATTGCCAGAAAATCAATTGGCATCAGTAGGCTTTAAATCATGTTATGTAAATATATGATGACAATTGATTTTGTGTACGTGGAACCTCAATTTACTTTAAGGACTATTGTGCTGTGATAGCAACTTTATTTCATATGACTCCCTATGTTACGGTAGAATTTAGAGTAGACTTTTTTAAGATCGCTTAATTTTGTATTAATGTCCGGGTAATGAAATATTGTATGCATTTTCGTTTTTCTTTGTGATAAGAAAATACATTTTGTGTGACAACTTTAAACACTTTTCGTTTTCTTTGCAATTATGGTTGCTGACGAAACGTAATTCTTTTTCAGCAGGAGTAGCATATCTTCAAGTGAAGACCTAACCGTGTAATATGTTGTTAATAAACTGTTATTTTTTGGACGTTTTCTTGATTTTGTTTTTTATAATGTTCCCCGTATATTTTTAGATGGGAAAATGCGAAAGTGATTGAATTCATTGTCCATTATGTTTTGAATGGATTAAGAAAATGTTTTTTCTTGGAAAAACAGTTTTCTGTTTTTAAAACTAATTTAAAATAGGCTTTTTGAAATGCTGAAATCTAACTTAAGTTTGCCAGTTCTACGTTTTCACAATCAAAAGGTATTATTTCCTCAAACCGGAGAGATCGCTCGCTAAAATGTTCCTTTTTTTTATAAAACTATTTCAGTGAGAAAAAAACGCTTGAAAGTATGCAAATGCGATTTCCGGAGATTATAAACATGTTTAAATGTTGAATGTATATTTAAATAACAGTTTCATAATTCGCTCATTAGATAAGTGAAAGAGCGTCAAGAAGAAAGCAAAATTTGCCATCACTTGTCCCGGCTATTCGAATAGTGAATCTTTAAGAAGAAGCGAAATTAGTAGCGTGAAGAGTTTTACCAGCAGCTTTCTTAAACTCAAAAGTACAACTTTAGCTTGCAGAATTAAAAAACCATTCAATTATAGGATTTATTAAATAATCCTTAATTTTAACACCCAGCTAGTTCTATTTTCTAGTGGCTGCAGCTTAAACATTAAGCAAAAAATCGCCTAAATTGCACAGTTGGTTCCTAAAATGGCATCGTCTACTTTCACCCTTTGAATCCTGTAATTCACTTCATTTCCATTGAGTTCTTGGTAGATAAATTGAGGCATTTTATCGGAAAGGATCCACAGATTTCTCTCGTTATCAATCTACAAAGAGACGATTTTCAAAGCTTAGAAGTATAAAAGTTTTGTTGCGTTATTACCTTAATATCGTTAGTAAAAATGAGACTTTGAGGATCCCTGACGACCAAAGAGACGCTTTGAGGAGTCAAGGGTTTCTTTGGGTTCCAGCACGCCACTCCGTCTTTGTTCAATTGGGTGAGGAACAAAGTGTTGGACTTTTCATCGAAAACCGATGCGGATGTTTGCGATTTGTCTCCTTTGAATCCTTCCAACTGCAAAAATAGACTTTCGAATTTTCCTTTAAATAATGCGATATATTTCCCACCTTGAAGTCGTTGTAGATATGCGGATCATTTGCTAAGCTTCTGTTCCTTAGAATAGCCGAATTGACGGAAAACTCGTTCAAGCTGGCCAAAGGATGGAAGTAAACAGTGCGGAAGCTAAAGAAAATGTTTAACAAAGTTTTTCGGTTTGAACAGTCGGTAAGCATGGACTTACCCGCTAAGGTCTTTTGGCCCCAAAGCCAATCCGAAGATGCCGTCGGTCCATTGGAAGTTTACTCCGCCGACGTTGAAGTCGCCATGCAGAGGATCAAAGTGGAAAAAGTTGTGCTTGAATCTCCAAGATTCATTGGCTTTAAACGAATACACCACAAGACCGTACCCGCCCAGGTCCGGAATATAGGCGAAAGCATCATCGCATTTATCTTTGTCCACATCTACAATCTAAGAAGGGAAAGTTTTTGGAGTATTTAATTGAAGAATAAAGCAAATAAGCTGTTTTTTGACAAATTTTAATTTGCGCACAAGTCAGTGACTTCTACTTGGCTAGGCTGGGAAATTGAGACAAGCAAACTTTTGCGCAATTGCGTTTTTTTAAGAAAAATCAGCTTGGGCGAAAAAATGATGAGTGGGATCGAAATGCATCTTTAAACACCGACAGCAGCTTCTATTTTTTACAACTTTTTGAAGTTTTTTGAACAGAAGTTATTTTAGTTTAATGCAGTTCTTGGCGAGTTTTTAAAAATCCTAAACTGCAAAATGGTCCGTTGTT